GGATGTTCACAGCACCAAGTGTTAGTTGGCTGGAGCAGGACAAGCCTGGAGGTCACTCACAGCACCAAGCACAAATTTGGGAGGAGGAGGAGGACAATGCCTAAGAGATGCTCACAACACCAGGTGACAGCTGGGATGAGCAGAACATGGTCTGGAGGATGCTCCCAGCACCAGGTTCACATGGGCTGGAGCAGGGCAGGGTCTGGGGGATGTTCACAGCACCAAATATTAGTTGGTTGGGCAAGGAGAAGCTTGGAGGTCACTCACAGCACCAGGCGATCACTGCCAGGTGCAGGACAGTATGTACAGGACACTCACAGTACCAGGTACCAGTTAACTAGAGCAGGACAAGGTCTGGAGGACTCTCATGGCACCAGGCACAAGTAGGCATGGAAAGGACATGGCACGGAGGACATTCACGGCACCAGGCACAAGTTGGCATGAGCCAGACAAGGCCTGGAGGACATTCGGAGCACCGGACACAAGTTGGCATGAGGAGGACAGAGCCTGGAGGACGTTCGGAGCACCAGGCACAAGTTGGCCTGAGGAGGATGGAGCCTGGAGGACACGCACAGCACTGCTCAGCACAGGCTCTCTGGAGCAGGACAAGGTCTACACGGAGGCCCACAGCACCAGCACCGGTCGGCTAGAGAGGGACATGGTTCGGAGGATGCTCACGGCACCAAACACGGAATTGGGAGGAGTAGGACAATGTCTGCAGGATGCTCAAAGCACCTGGTGATAGTTGGGTTAAGGAGGACAGGGTCTGGTGGACACTCAGCTCCAGGGAAGCGTCACCCAGAGCAGGACAGGATTAGGAGGACATTCGGCTCCAGGAAAATGTCACCCGGAGCAGGACAGGGTCTGGAGGACACTCAGCTCCAGGGAAGCGTCACCTGGAGCAGGATGGAGTCTGGAGGATGCTTTTGACGCCAGGTACGTGTCACCTGGAGCGGGACGGGGACCGGGGGCAGCTCCCAGCGCCCCGGCCGGGGACAAGGTGACAGCAGGGTTGGTCCTGGGGGCCCGGCCAGCCCCTGCCTGCACCCTGTGCCCCACAGCGCAATGGGGACGGGGGCTGCTCCCTTGGCCCCACAGCCCCTATAATGCCCCYCACAGCCCCTATAGTGCCCCCACAGCTGCCCCCAAGTCTCCCTCAGCCCCTGGTCCCTAAATCCCTTGGACACCCTCAGCCCCCATGACCCCCATAGGGCTCCCAGGTGCCACCATCTCCCCAGCCCCGGTAACCCCTATAGTGGCCCCCATGGCTCCCCTGCGCCCCCCAGGACACCTGCACCCCCACAGCCACCCCACTGCTCCCCTAGAGCCACCAGTGCCACCGGGCACCCCCAACCCCCGTGCCCCACATGGGGCTCGTGCACCCTCAGGCGCTGCCAGCCTCCCTGCACCCCACGGTCCCTATAGCACCTCCGCAGCCCCTATAGCGCTCCCCAATGCCGCCCTGCAGCTCCACTGCCCCTATAGTGCCCCCCAAGGCTCCCCTGCACCCCCAGGACCCCCTTGCCGCCCCACAGGACCCCCTTGCACCCCACACTGCCCCCCAAGGCTCCCCTGCACCCCCAGGACCCCCGTGCCGCCCCACGGCCCCTACCGCCCTCAACCCCTACACGCCCCATAGGGACCCCGGGTGCAGCCGCCCTCCCTATAGCCCCGGTGCGTGGGAACCACCCCCCCCGCGCCACTCACCGGCCGGACAGGGCGGTGCAGGCTCCGCCCAGGGGGCGGGGCTTGCCGCCCGTGGGCGGGGCCTTGCGCCGGGACGAGGTTTAGAGCTATGGGCGGGGCTTACGCGCGGGGGCGTGGCCAGGCGGGCGCTCCGACGGCGCGTCCCCCCCCCCACGCGCCCCCCTCCGCGCTCTGCGCATGCGCCGCTCCGCTCCGTGCACCTTTAATCGAGGTAAAGCACTTGGGTGGGGGCGGCCCCATAACCCCCCCCCTTACAACAGGGGAGGGCGCCCCACGGCGGGGAACCGGCACGCGTGGGGATGGAGGAAGAGGAGGAGGGGGGACCCCCTCAACGCGCGCCGCCCCCTCCTCCAGCTGCCAGGTGGGGACCCCCAAACACGCCGCATCCGGCGCTCAGTCCCGGGGGGTCTATAGGGCGCGGGCGAGGGGCGCCAGCAGCGCCACAAGGAGCAGCGGGGCTGGCGCGGTGGGGGCGCCGCCGCCGGGGGTCCCGTCGGGCAGACGGCAGTCTCCGCCGCGCCAGCCGCGGTAGCAGTGGCATCGGAAGTGGGTCCGTAGGAAGTCGGCGTCGGCGTCGGAGAGGCGGCCCTCGGCGCGCAGCGGCGGGCGCCGCCGCACCTCGAAGCTGCCCGGCGGCAGGTGCAGGAAGACGGCGGCGCCGCTGTCCCGCCGCCGGCAGCGCCCGCGGCCCTCGCACAGCGCCGCGCTGCACAGCTCCGCCGCCGTCGTCACGTTCACGATGTAGCGGCCCAGCTCGCCCTCCAGGTAGCTCTGGATGGCCTGGCACGAGTTCTGCGGCGGGAAGGGCAGCGTGGCGCGGGGTGCCGTGGGCACCGGGACCCCCTCGTGGGGCCGGTCCCCCCGCTCCGTCCCCAACCTACCCGGTTTTTGGTGTAGTCGGCGTCGCCCCAGAAGATGGCCCCGGCGGCGCCGAGCGCCGCGCTCTCGCCGATGGTGGAGATGAGGTCGCGCTGCGGGGACACGGCGCGTCAGGGCGCCCGCCGGCGGCACGGGGCGCCCCGCGTCCCTGCCCCGGAGCCGGGCCCGGCCCCGGCACCCTCCGCGCTGGCCACGGGTGCTCCAGAGGCGGCCAGGGACACCATCAGGGGCCACATGGACCCCCGGGAGCCCCATGAGGAGCCACAGGGTCCCCTGTGAGCCCCATGAGGAGCCACATGGACCCCCGGGAGCCCTTCCAAGGGCCACCAGGTCCCCAGGGTGACCCAGGGCTGCCCTGCCGCAGGGAGGAGCTTCCCGGCGGCACCTGCATCCGGCCACTCCGGGCCGCTCGCCCGGGGCTCCCGGAGGCGCCAGCGGCCCCACGCCCAGGGAGGCGGCAGCGGAGCCGGGCACGGAGGCRCTCCCGAGGGAGGCCGCTCCACCCGGCGCCTCCGCGCCCCGGGGGCGCTCCTCCCTGCCCGGCACAGCCTCCGGGGGTATCCCACGGGAAGCGGAGCCTGCACGGGCGGCGGGACCCCCCCCACGGCGGGAGGCTGCGTGTGCCTCACCTGGGTGAGCACGTCCATGCTGCGGGTGTAGGTGGGCCGCGTGTAGACGAAGACGGGCAGCGCGTAGCCCTCGTGGTGCTGCTGGGAGACGCGCAGCGCCTCCATGACGCGGGCGCGCACGAACTTGCGGCTGTTGGAGGTGGAGGCCAGCACCGGGTCCAGGTAGATGGAGGGGTAGAGGGCCAGGCTCTCCTTCCAGAGCCACGCCAGCTGGTCGTTGCGCGTCTTCTCCACGTCGGGGCACTGCCCCGTGTAGGTCTCCTTGTTCTTGCTGTAGTCGTGGTTGTAGCAGTCGGGGAAGAGGTAGAAGCCCCAGAGCTGCTTGGGGCGGGCGCTCTTGGCGTGGCGCAGCGTCTTCACCATGAACCTCTGCGCGGCCGACTCGAACTCGAGCACGGCCTCCCTGTAGACGCGCTCGGCGTCCCAGGCGGGCTGCCGCCGCCGCACCAGCTGCTGCGACGCGTTGCGGTACACGTCCTTGGGCTTCCAGTTGCGCACCCAGATGGGGCGCCACTCCTCCCAGTCGATGACGGCGAGCCCCTCGGCCGCCTCCGACGGGATGTACTTGGCGATGCCGCGGCGCAGGCACGCCAGGTGCTCGGCCAGGCTGCTGTTCTGCGGCACGCCGCCGTTGACGGCCGCGCGCTGCGCCGTGTAGTAGGGGTAGAGGCCGAGGCGCTCCTTGTAGAAGATGGTGAGGTTCTGGTCCACGAAGCCCTCGTTGGGCGAGGCGCGCACGTCGAAGAGGCTCAGGTCGGGCTCCACCTGGAAGCGCGGCTTGCACTCCTGCGTGGGCACGTTCCACGCCACGAGGAAGGGCCGCCGCGCGA